TTTAAGCTAACTTTTTGGTGCATTTGGTTTAATAATTGAATTTTCTGTTTCTGTCTTTTAAACGAGGGTTAATGCGGAAAAAGCGTAGTTGTTTGTAACAAGTGGATTTTCTAAACTTTCTCTGGTGACCGCAGTTGTAACTTGTCAGGTAACTCTGTTTGTTTGTACTTGACTGCCTCGTGGCTGTAAACGCGGTTGCTGTTCATGAGGTCACTTGTGCATTTACCGGACCAAAAATTGGTTATTGAGGTTATCTGTCAATAAATTCTCAGTAGCAGCCCGGAGTCAGGAAGTTTTCGGTGTTTCATCCCCGTGCCTCGAAAATCACGTAAAGTGCATGATCTCTGTCCGGTCGTGTCGGTTTACTGTGCCATCGGATTATGAGAGTGAGGAAATTGATAGTGTCCCTAGTGCATACACTCGGGCACTGTAATCCTATCCCGCGCAGATTTGACGGCTTCGTGGTGCAGTGGCCTGGTAATGAGTTGCGGCGCTGAGGTCCGCGGTTTCGAATCCCGCACGGAAAATGCATTTGTATGGCCTACTATTACAGGTCTGGATGTTGTCCGTGTGGAATTCATGTATATAAACAGTTTCCAAGATATAGGAGAAAAACCAAGTGTTTTAAAAAAACATGTGTGGCACTCGTTGACTGCCGCGGTAAAGCTATTGCATAGCATTTTTTATCAACTTATGCAATTATAATTATTTATTTATTTTATTTATGCAGTTAAGTCTTTGATATTAAATCAAGTTACACTTTTTGAGCGTGGTGACCGATAAGAAAACAATTTTTTTCTCTTATTGAATAAATGAGAAGTTAATATTGTTTAAAATATTTTTAATATCTTACAATACATGTAGGTTATTCAGGAATTTTTATCATTGAGTTAGCAGCTAGTGTACACGCATACGTCTAGTCGCACGCACACAAACACCGTGCCGAAGTCTGCCGAGTGCCGAAGTCTGCCGAACTGAAACGACGTTAGACGATGCACGGCTTTCAACGCCACACCTCCGTGCCCGTCGGAGTGGGGAGCGTGAGGTTTTTTTTCGTTACGGAATTTCTGGATTCGGTCCCCGCGCTCAAGGCCCGCGATAGAAGCTATGCAATAGCTTAAAAATATATTGCCTGGAGTTACTGTGACCGAAGCTAGGTGGTTAAGGGTTAAGGATACTTAGATTACATAAATAATAATTTTTCCATTTTATGATAGTTTTTTTTTTTTTTTTTTTTTATAGAAGAGGGGGCAAACGAGCATGTGGCTCACCTGATGTTAAGTGACTACCGCCGCCCATGATCAACCGCAACACCAGGGGGGATTGCAGGTGCGTTGCCGGCCCTTTAGAAAGGAGTAAGCTCTTTTCTTGAAGGTCCCCAGGTCGTATCGGTCCGGAAAAATCACCGGTGGTAAATTATTCCACAGAGAGGTTGTACGCGGAAGAAAACTCCTTTTGAAACGTACAGTGGTGGACCGCCAAGCATCCAGTTTTTTAAGTTTGAACTGTTTTTGTGTATATAAGGTAATGTAACATAAAATATTATATAGATTCATAGATATTAGGTAAGAACTGTAAATTTTTTAAAGAAATTAGTTCACGTTTAATGTTTGACATTATGTAGAACTACTTAAACTTATTAAGTATAACAATGTCTGGTCCGCTTACAAGCATAATATGGTAATATTTTGAGAATTTATTTGTAATAAATTAAAACTGTATTCTTTGGAGTAAACAAGTAAAATAATAACTTGTTATAGCGCCATCTACTGCATTTTATACGTAAAATGATTTTATCGAAAAAACATTGATTAACTCTCAAGGTAGTACGCATAAAATATGCTAGACGGCATAAACAGGAAACGATTTAATTTAATGTTCTATTTCATTTTCTCGCAGGCTAAATTCTATTGATATATACTTATATATCACTTCTTATAATATGAGATTTTGAGGATACTTAGATTACATAAACAATTATTTTTTCGATTTATGATAGGTTTTTAAGTTTGAACTGTTTTTGTGTATAAAAAGTAATGTAACAAAAAAATATTATATAGATGCGTAGATATTAGGTAGATACTGTACATTTTTTAAAGAAATTAATTCAAGTTTAGTGTTTGACCTTGTGTAGAACTAATTAAACCTATTAAGTATAACAATGTCTCGTCCGATTACAAGCATAATATGGGACTATTTTGCGAAATTAAGTGTATATATAGTTTTATATGTGGTAGAACCATGCTCCAGTTATATTAGTAGTATAGTCGTAGCGCTAATGGGCAGGCTCGACCGAGGAAGGACCACGCTCTCATAAAATACCAGCGTGAAATAGTACAGAATGGACATTGTGTAGAACTAATTAAACCTATTAAGTATAACAATGTCTCGTACGCTTACAAGCATAATATAAGACTATTTTGAGAAGTTAAGTGTAATAAATTAAAACTGTATTCTTTGGAGTAAACAGTAAAATAATAATTCATTATATCGCCATCTACTGCATTTTATACGTAAAATGATTTTATCGAACACACATTGATTAACTTTTAAGGTGGTATGCAAAAAATACGCTAGATGGCGTAAACACGACATGATTTCATTCTCTCGGTGGCTAAATTCAATTGATATATAATTATATATAACTTGTTGTACATTTTATAATTGCATTGCATAATACACTACACATACACTATTGATATAGACTTATATGTCACTTCTTATATTATGAGATTTTATGGATACTTAGTTTACATAAATATAATTTTATTAGTTTTATGATAGTTTTTTAAGTTTGAACTGTTTTTGTGTATAAAAAGTAATGTAACATAAAATATTACTTAGATGCTTAGATATTAGGTAGGTACTGTACATTTTTTAAAGAAATTAGTTCAAATTTAGTGTTGGACATTGTGTAGAACTAATTATACCTATTAAGTATAACAATGTCTTGTTCGCTTATAAGCATAATATGGGAGTATTTTGAGAATTTAAGTGTAATAAATTAAAACTGTATTCTTTGGAGTAAACAGTAAAATAATAATTCATTATATCGCCATCTACTGCATTTTATACGTAAAATGATTTTATCGAACAAACATTGATTAACTTTTAAGGTGGTATGCAAAAAATACGCTAGATGGCGTAAACACGACATGATTTCATTCTCTCGGTGGCTAAATTCAATTGATATATAATTATATATAACTTGTTGTACATTTTTTAAAGAAATTAGTTCACGTTTAATGTTTGACATTATGTAGAACTAATTAAACTTATTAAGTATAACAATGTCTCGTCGACTTACAAGCAAAATATGAGACTATTTTGAGTAGTTAAGTGTATATAGTTTATACATGGTAGATCCATGCTGCAGTTATAACAGTAGTATAGTTGTAGCACGACGTTAGACAATGCACGGCCTTCAAGCCACACCTCCGTGCCCGTCGGAGTGGGGAGCGTGAGGTTTTTTCGTTACGGCGGAATAAATTTCTGGATTCGGTCCCCACGCTCAAGGCCCGCAATAGAAGCTATGCAATAGCTTAAAAAGACAGCTAGTTTACGAAAAGTTTGGCCGTCGTGATCGAAATTCTGTCTGCGGGATATTATTATCCGGTAGTTAATTTTTGTTGCTATTAAAACGTACATTAGAGCTTATGACATTTTTTCTCTCCATTCATGAGAAAATATTTCGTACAAATGACACATAGTCTTCCTTCCCAGTGATGCGAATGGATGTTCCTCAGTGTTCCATCCTTGGTCCATTTTTTCTGAGTCTATATTAACAATCAGCCACATATATTGCAACACATAGCAGAAATTGTTGTTGTTTGGAATGCCACATCGCTGTCATATTTTAGCACCAAACACAAAGCTCGCCTCCGATACAAGGATACCATAAAGTCGCCAAAAAAGGAAAGAAGCTGTCAATAGGCATGCGTAACACTAATGTTGAACTAACAGCCTGTCGAGGGTCAACTGCTGAATATAGCTCTCCCGCATAGATTTCCCCATAAGGGAGATATTTGAACCTACTGTGGAGGAGTAAGATTATCCACTACCCCATGTCGTCCCGTGGGTGCCCGAAGAGGTGACAGGAAGAGGATAACTAAGAGATGGGTAACTAGAACAAATATGGGGCAATCCCTATGAAGAAATCTATAGCAGAGGCGTAACACTATACCTAACCTAACAATTTGTCTATCCTTGGCGCATCACGTTCACGTAGAACTCATCTATCTATTATTATTAGGAATCTTAGCGACACGTATTCAGTGCCTGCATGCCTATAAAAATAAACACTAAACTGTACTAAGTTTGCACTAAACGAATATATTTGAAGCGACGACTATATCTGGTGTTTATGATGTATCTTTGATGTGACTTTGGCCTTTATATCGCGAGCACCGCATAAATCCAGTTACACTCACTGAATGACATGGTTCGTAAATAAGCAATGTTTTGTAATACGAAGCTGTACCCAGAATAACGGCTATAAATATATTTTTAATTTTTAATTAATACATTAAATTTTTGCCTAAACGTGAACCGTCTGTAACGTATGGTAGACTACAGGCAACATACCGTTTCACCTTTCCTAAATTCTCCAAGTAAAATTAATTCGTTTTTTCAAGCAATGTAGAGTATTGTCTACACTCTCTTCTTTCAATTTAGTACAAGCATGTCAATCTAGATGTCGCTACTTGCCTCAAACAACGAAATATCGTTAGTGAAGTGAAAAGTTTCAAATGCTCAGAGTATGTTAAAAGACAAAAAATATAAGAAAATAGTTATTTTGTTTTTTGGTGTTTCTTTTCTTGATAATCTGTAAGGTAAGTGTTTATAGTTTACCATATTATTATATTTTTGCTGATAATTTACAGTTTTTATGTATTAGGTGACTATTAGTGTTTGTGTCTTGTAGGCTACATTGTGCGGAAAGGGGAACTATCTTGTACGAACACTGTGGATATTTACACTCGTTATTATTTTGTTTTAGCATGGCTCACCAAATTCACCTAAATGAAAACGAAATCGCCTGCGCACTTCAATGTGATTTAAGTGAAGATGGACTCGACTTAGATGACGATAGTTTGATGGATCCTGACTTTGAACCAGATTTTGAAGAGTCGATTGACGAATCTTTGGAAGCTGAATTCGACATAGATGCACTAGTAGACACCTTGAATGATGACGACCGTAACTCCAACTTTGAGGTAGAAGTAGGGCCGGCCTTATCTAGTTCAGACATTCCAGGTACTTCAGATCCCCCCTGTAAAACGTCGAAAGCCTGAAAAGCTAACATTACGGTGGAAAAAGAAGAATTTAGAGCTGAATGCACAGCAGCTGGCTTTTACTGGCAATGAGTCATTGAGTTCTGATATCTTGGACCTTGATACTCCAATACAGTTCTTTCTTTTTTTATTTCCACCAGAACTCATAAAGAGAATTTCGGAAGAGACAAACCTCTACGTGGTACAAAAAGACCCAAACAGCACGTTTCGTGTATCGGAGACAGAAATGCGTCAATTTATAGGGGTAGTATATATGATGTCACTGATTCAGCTACCCAGAGTGACCAACCACTGGAGTTCCGTCTTGGGTACACCTGTAATTCAACAGACCATGCCTTCTAATAAATTTGAAAAGATTAGACAATATCTGCATTTTAATGATAACACTAAATGTCTACATAGGACCCACCCTGACTCCGATAGGATCTTCAAAATTCGCCCAGTCGTTGATGCCTTGAACGAATCTTATGGTAAAGTTCCATTAGAAAAACAACTTTGTGTAGATGAGCAAATTTGCTCTACAAAAGCGCGTAACATGCTGAAAAGGTATAATCCCAAGAAACCGCATAAGTGGGGTTATAAATTATATGTTTTGAGTGGTGTTTCTGGTTTTGCTTATACAATAGAGATTGAATCTGGCAAAGAGAATGTTGTCAGACCCGACGAGCCAGATTTAGGAGCTTCTTCCAATGTAGTAGTGAGATTATCGCGTATGATTCCGCGACACCAAAATTACAGGCTCTATTTCGATAACTACTTCACATCCTTGCATCTTTTGGAATATTTAGCAAAAGAAGGTATTCTTGGGCTAAGTACTATTAGAAGGAATAGAATACCTGACTGCAAGCTGTCGTCAGAAAAAGAGATTATGAAGAAAGATCGAGGATATTCTGAAGAGTACATAGCTGATGTCAACGGCGTCGACGTGTCAACGGTTGTATGGAAGGACAATAAGCTTGTTACATTGGCTTCCACATTTGCTGGTCTAAATCCTATAAGCGAAGTCCGGAGATACGACAAAAAGAACTCAAGATACATAAACATCCCGCGACCTAATGTTGTGAGCGAGTATAACCGTCATATGGGCGGTGTGGACCTTGTAGATAGCATTATGGGCATCTACAAGATAAAACTGAGAAGCAAACGTTGGCAGATGCGTCTCTTCTATCACTTCTTAGACCTAACAATGGCTAATGCATGGCTGTTCTATAAAAGAGTCTGCAAGTATAAAAACATTCCCAACAAGACCATCATGGCATCTGCAGATTTTCGCCTGGAAATTGCCGAAACATTGTGCAAGATGGGGGTGAAAACGGGTTTAACAATACGCCGATCTATTGAAGGTCAAATCCTAGCAAAGAAACACAAAGGACCTGCCCAACATGTACCTCCACAAGCAGTCCGCCAAGATCAAGTCGGTCACTGGCCTCAATGGGCAGAAAAAAAAATCCGTTGTAAGTTCCCAAAGTGTGCTGGATTTACTCATACGGTGTGTGATAAATGCGGCGTAGCTTTATGTTATACCAAAAACAAAAATTGTTTCAGGAATTTCCATCTGTTGTAACTGATTTACATTCTTCTCAATTAAAGTGATATTAACTAATTTTTTACTGTTGTAACTCATTGTTGCCTAGGAGCTACACTCCCTTTTTTTGTAGTATTATGCTTGATTTATAAAAAATTATATAATTTTAAAAAATACGTATTTTATTAATTTCATAATCCTATCCGATTCCATGAAAAATATGTAATTTAAAGATTTTGAGTTATAGAGGGTTAAGGAAACCCAGTGGGACTTTTTTTCAAGCACCTTCAAAAAAATGAGAAGTTTCTCAATTCGATTGTATTTTTTTATGAATGTTCAGAACTTTTTCTAGGCGAACCGATTTTGATAATTCTTCCCTTTTTATTTGAAAGTCGGTGGTTCTCATGTGGTTCCACGTAAGTTTGATCAAGATCTGACCAGTAGTTTTTCAGCTTATTCTTAAAAATGCGTATATTGAAGTCAGTTGTACAAAATTTTTAATTTTACCAGCTGTTTTTAAATAATAGTTTATAATAATTTACAATATAAATTTAAGTTATAGGTATATTATAAACAGCACGGTACCGTTTACTTTATTCTCTCGGGTTGTTATTATCAATCATGTACTCATTAATAGTAACAACTCTTATTAAACAATTTTAGTGTGACTAAATTTTTCATAACTTTTTCGTAGAATAGGTTCTCCATATTGTCGAAAGCTATTTTAAGAGCGTATATGTTGCCCCATGGACGAATTACTGACTCTTTGAAATCGAGTTACTGGTATTACTAGCATGTTCCGGTACTTAGTATTTACAAATGTACATAACTATTTTTTATTTTAAAATATTCTGAGATAATTTTTAAAGGACTTGCTACCTGCAGATTATAGTACCCAAGTGTGTGCGCAAGCACAGGTGCACTCACTACTCTCTCACTCTCATAGTCCGATGGGACGGTAATACGACACGATAGGAGTGAGATCAGGCGCAGGAGCGTAGGCGTGACAGAGCGCTAGCTTCCGTTCTACGGGCTGCTACTGAGAATTTCTTGACGGAAAACGCTGATATTGGCCCGACCCGGAATTCGATCGCGGGACCTCATGATCAGGCACTTAAGACACACACACCAAAGAAGCAGTTACAATAACAAGTTAATTAGCGACCATAACGTCGATTTTTCACATGGCTAGATTATAGCTAGCATAGCATAGATCATGCAGGGATAAGCTACACCATTAGTAAAGCAATAAAATTTACATATTCATGTTTGTCTTATATTATTTACATAAATAAGACAAAAAATAAACAAATATACGTTAATTTAGCGCCGTGTGGCAACGCACGAGCATTCACTAATTCATATACGGAGTACAGATTGAAGTGTGGGGTGAGGTGAACTCTTCAATCTGTACATCGACGGTCTAATCGTTGAGCTCAGTGATGCCGGAGTTGGCTGCTTGACAGTCCCTTTGTTAATAATATAACCTATGCCGATGACATGGTTCTGCTGAGCCCATCGATCAGGGCCCTCGAAACGCCAGTGCGCATCTATGAAAGGTACGCGGCGGCTCATGGTCTCAGATATAATTCTAAAAAGAGCGAACTACTCGTTTTAAAGCTTGGAGGAGTTACACTGAGTAGAGTCACCAAATTCGGATATCTGGGACACTGTGTTGCTGAGGATCACTCTGACAATTTAGATGTTGAACGGGAACGTAGAGCGTTGGCAGTGAGGTGTAATATGCTTACCCGCAGGTTTGCTAAATGTACGAATGAAGTTAAGATAATATTATTCAAAACTTACTCTCAGACATTATACACCTGCAGCCTGTGGACGAAGAATACTCGCCTAACTCTCAATGTGCTACGTGTTCAGTACAACAATGTATTCAGGATGCGGTTGTGGCTGCCGCACTTTCACAGCGCATCGCGTATGTTGGCCGCAGCACACGTGGATAGTTTTGCAGTAATATGACGCAAAAGAAAGCCTCCTTGATGCGTCACGTTGAAGACAGAACCAACGGCTTCCTAGCTTCCATATATGGAAGGGAAGATTGTCCTGTGATGAGGTACTGGAACAAAGAGCATATGAGCTCCAGGCCCAATATGTTTAGTAAAAAATAATAATTTCGGTGTTGTATAACTAAGATGTTTTTAAAGTTATCCTAGGTTAGTCTTTTTTTATACGGCTTTGTTGTATAATAACTTCTGTATTCTGTAAATTTACCAACCCTTAGTTTTTAAGTTTTAAATGAACTAAAAAATGGGTTAGTTACTTGAATAATGAAATAAATAAAAAAATGTAATCCCATGGATGGGAAATGTGACAGGAAAAACTCGAAATAATAACAAGAACTGCCGTAGCCAACCCGCCTGCCAAGTGTGGCAAATACGACAGGTGTGGGCGATGTCATGAGGAAATTTATGGAAGACACCTTTGTACAGCAGTGGACCTTTAATGCTGTAATGATTGAATTTCGTGAATTCAATATTGGAAACTATTTGAAAATCAGCGCTGCTGTCACTTAATACAGCAGGCAGTTAGTTGAAATAGGAACCTAATTTGTTTTGTAATTTATTTTTTATCTCGTGTTATTTTTTCTTTCTGTGCTGTAGACATGTGGCAATCACTCATTTCTCGTGACCGAATTATTCTAGTACATTTCATCACGCGTACTGGTACATTCGGATCGATTATTCAAATGGATCATTTCGGACTCCAGTATCAGTCCACTAAAAACAATTTATTCAGATCATTCAAGATTCGGTCGGTTCAATTCATTCACAATTCACACCAATCACGAGTTAAAAAGGTTCCGACAATTGTTTGTGATTTGTTGTATCGGAACATTAAAAAACAGATGAATGAACCATCAATACTTTTGTGTACCAGCTCAAACGAAGGAATCATTCATGATTGGCGCATGTCTACTGTGCTGCTTTTTGGCGACAGTAATAATAACATCATACAAATCAAAGATAAGCACTGACATAAAGGACTTAATATAGAAATTGAATACGAATTTCTCTCCAGATGTCACATATCAGAGTGTGAAGACAACGACACCTTGCGAACGGTATCAGCGGAGACCTGGTCCCCGGCCTGGACGAGCTATGCCTTACCACATGACGATGTTTGCGCGCGCCACCCATCGGTCTCCGACACCTGCGACGAGGATTCCTTTGACAACACCACCAACATTCTGTGCGAGAACTTCGTCTACTTAGATCGGCGGAGTATAATAGCCGAGGTAAGAACTGTGTTAATAAAAGTGACTTCTAGTTTAGATGTTGTGTTTTGGTCATCTACTACTTTCCGTAGGTGTAGTTAGAAGCGACCGTGAGAAATGCCTCCTGGTTACTAATTATCTGCTATCTTTCAATATAAAGCGGTGTGAATGTCCCATGAAATGAAATGAAATACATTTATTGAAACAGCACAGCTTTACAAATATACTCAAAGTATGCAATAATAAATACATTAGTTAAGGAAAATTGTGTCGTGGCTGTTAACGGTTACCTTCCAAAGTAACAGGTATTTTACGCCAGACTTTACGTCGTCTTACGTCGATCACACGTATTATATTTAGATCGGTGACGAGGAGCAGCAACCTTTTATGCGGGCCACCTAGTATTGCGATCGGAACTCTGATTTCCTGTATGTCGATTGTGTCAAATATACTACAGAAAATGCACATGTGTAGTAGTGACTTATTAGAAAGAGGAAGATATTCGGAAGTATGAGGGAATTTTAAAATAATGCAACTTGAATATTGACTTGGATGATTGTATTTTGTCCAAATACTCAAACACTGCTTAATTTTAAGATGCCGTTAAGTCTCGTGCCGTCCTCGTATCACTTCAAGGCAAAGTGACTGTGACACCACAAGACTTAACCTATCTTATATATATATATATATATATATATATATATATATATATATATATATATATATATATATATATATATATATGATCTAAAAGAGGGTAAAATATTGAAAGTTCAAAGAACCTGTTCAAAATAACGTAATCTACTGTAAATACTTCGAGTACGTTTGAATAAATTATTTACACGAGTACGAGGGATCTGTGACAGAAAACATCTGGCCGCCGAGCTTCAGCACGTCAAGCAAGTATTGCAAGACAACAAGCTTCGGGTCCCGCGCCTACGTCACAGTAAACGAGTGAAGCCGGCCACAGTCGAGCGTGTACCTGCTGTACTGCCATATGTCAGAGGAGTCACAGACAAGATTGGTAACATCTTGAAGCGAGCTTCCATTAAAACATACTACAAGCCGCCGAAGACGATTAGTCAATTTTTACCATCCATCAAATGTAATATTCCTCTACAAGATGCAGGTGTGTACAAGCTAGATTGTGAAAGTTGTCTCTCTTACATAGGTCAAACAAAGAGATCTATAAAAACCCGCGTGAAGGAACATATAGCTGATGTGAAGCACCGACGCTCCGGGAAGTCTGCAGTCTGCGAACATGTTCAAGATCGTCCCCACCATTACATTAGATTTGATAAACCAGAAATCCTCGCAAAAGAACGCCGATTCCTATCAAGGATAATACGCGAGGCTATTGAAATTAAAAACATCCAAATTTCAATAGAGAAGATGGATGGGTGCTGCCATCTACTTGGGATCCTATAATTAACAAAATTAAACCCATACCCAAGCATAACACTGCAAGACGTCATGATACTATAAGCTCGCTTTGCGTAAATCGGACCAAAAATTAATATTCAAAAACTGAAGGTACCCGGACTAACTGTGACATTGGGTCGTCAAACATCTCAGTTCCCCTTCGTGACCATGAGTGCTGTAAAGCACCCGAAACGTTGGGATAATAAAAATAAATCAAAGTAGTAGTTAAACGCGATGAAATCCGTAAATAATAGTTTTATTCAATGTGTAGTGTTCGCGTAAATTTAAGAAATCATTATTTCGAGTACGTTGTTTGACTCGCTGCTCAGAAAGAATACGCAGGCACTTCAACAGAAGAAATATGTTTTAAAGAAACTACGCTAACTGTAATAAATTTATAATAAATAATTGAAAATAATGTAAAAAATATAAACATTAATCTACAAGTGTCGCTTGGTGATGGGATCAGCTGACCTTGTTTATCAGCTTGCCTTTAAACTTATGCATAATATACTCGCAGGGCCCGTGCAAAATAAATAGTATCGCAGTGTCGTATCGCGCAACTTAAATAATTATCAGAACGCGAATATCATTGAAGTAATATGTACTTACGTACTAGAATAGCTCTTTCAAACAAAAAATGTGCGCTGCTCTGTGTTCGCGCGGTTGGTTTTTTATCATAGAGTAAACATAGGTAGAATGATCAGTAGGTAATAGTAGATTGTGTTGTTAAATAGGTAAATTATATCGAGAACAATTTTTAAATGTTGTCATTATTTTTGTATATTACGTTTGCTTATTTAATATAATAGTACATAATATTATATCACAATTACGTTTTAATGATATTTTGATCTGCATATTTTAAACGGTAACTATGCCCATCATAAAAAAAACATACTAAATGCATGTTTAACAAAACTTATTAATATAACATTTAAATTACAAATTCAAAGAACTCTAATTTAAATGAATATATATTCATATATAAGAGTCGTTCATAAATGCTGGGCACGCGAGAGTTAAAAATGGACGAATTTATTCCACTTTGAATTTGATGTGGAAACCTAAAAATAAAATAAAAGATTAATAAGAAGATTTAAATATAAAAAATTCGCCTAATTATGATAACTTATACATGTTTCTACAAAAAAAATGTGTATACTAATATATTCGTCCTATACTTAAGTACCTACAGAAATGTCGCATCTGAACAAATTAATTTCATATATCTATATTCCATGACACGAGATGGCGTCTTAGGAACAATTTGTTTTATTATTAATCTATAATACTTTTTTATTAATTAAGTATCTTATTAACCGATGATAAGTAATTCCTTAGTTTTTACTGACATGTCTTGAATTATTTGTGCAATATCTAAGTACACACGACGGCATATTTTATCAAGAGATTTTTTTTAAATGAACACAACACATGACAACTCTACAACGCCTAACGAGTGATTTGATTAAAGTGCTGTGTATGCACCGCAGTTGAATGGAACAGAGTAGCTGAATGTAGTGTCGCCTCTAGTACGTAGTACGTAATAGCTCAATGGCGAATATAAACCTTTTGTCATGATCAATAAATAACTTCTTGTTAAAATTTAGCTTATATATTCAATACACTTTCTCTTAGTACCTTCTTTTTTGTTTCTTGAAGTTTGTTTTACTTTTTTTAAGTTTAATTATTCGAAATCATTTATTCTTCTTCTTTACTTTCTTCGTCTTCTTCTTCACTTTATGGCTTCTCTTATTACAAGTTCGTCCATATCAGTCATGAGAGTGAGAACCATAGATAATACACGATATACCAGAGAGTGACAACACAGAAGGTAAATGAAATATTATCATGTATAATTAATTATTTATTTGTGTTGTAAGAGTCTTCTCATCTACAACAAACAACTGGTTTCTGATGATGTTAGTGCTGTTAGCCTTTTGGCTATTACAGCTTCGTAGGTCTCTGAGTCAACGGCTTGAAAGGCTGCATTCTGCATCGTTACTTGCATAACGATCACTCCTATGACAGTGTACAGTGCATGTGAATGAGTTATCTAACGGCCGTCTTAACAGGGGGCGGCGGGCCCCAGCTCTGACGGCTAACTTGTGTCGTTCGATTTTCTGGGCGGCGAGAACCGCCCAGGGACGCGGGTGTACGGTGTGCACGCGGTGTGGAGAAATGTGCGGCACGCCCGTCTGTGGACTCGCTGTGACCCATCCGATATTCTGTCAGTGTTTGTGGCACCAGTTGAATGTGTAGTGTCCATGTGAGACGCGCTGGCGACGTTTGTGCCATCGGACAACAAACAACAACACATAAACATTTGATATCCTGCCACCAACAATGATTAGTTACCGTTACCGTTACAGCATATTTAAGTCCACTGATGAACACAGCCCCCTCATGATTGCTTCATAGGGGGATATTTACAATAGTTGGCACGCTTGGCAGGCGGGTTGGCAAACGTAGTTTTTATGCCTCATTTTTTAGTATTAACAACAAAATGATATTTTTAGCATAAATTAAATCACACAAATAAGAAAAAAAATTATGACATAAAACAAGTAGTATTAGTAGATCCTCTCGATCTATGTTTTATAGAAGAATATCATACAGGCAGAACTTAAGTCATCAAACAAGCACACAGTCACAGTCAACCTGATGATAAGTGGTTGCTGTGGTAATCAAAATGCAGATGCGTTGTCACCCGTGAGGACTGAGATGAAATGCCTCGTTTCCAGTAAAATGAGTCTCCCGTTCTCTACACTCACTATACGAAACACCTATACAGAATACCAGCGTAATATAGCATTGAGCTGCTATTTTACGCTGGTATTCTGTGAGAGCGTGATCCTTCCCGGTCGAGCCGACCCATTCGTGCAACATCTATACTACTAATATAGCAGCAGCGTGGTTCTACCACGTAAAAATAAGTGGTAATAAAAATAAAAGTAAGTAAGTGGTCGGTTGATGGTTCTAAATCACATTACATGTGTTTTATTACGTTTTATACAAGTTATTTACTTGGTAGAGCCATTTTACAGCTATATTGTGGTTATAGCACGAATGAGTTAACTCGACCGGGAAAGGATCACGCTCTTACAGAATACCAGCGTAAAATAGCAGCTTAATGATGCTGTGTTTATACATGCATATCATGCACATCTACATTTTGATTCTTAACCGGGAATAGATGTAGATGTGTGGTCCACAGGCCACAGCATCTAACCATTCGATGGACTGTGTGTTCGTCACTATGATTCTATAAAAAATCTATTTTAATTTATATATTATTTTCTTATTATTCCCAGTATTACCATGTTTTGATAATGTTTCGCACATTGTTTTCAGTTCAACCTTGCGTGTCAGGAGGGCAAGCGCGCACTGGTGGGCACTGTGCACAACGTGGGCATGCTAGTCTCCTTGCCCATCATGGGACATGTGTCCGACAGGTACGGTAACAATTGTTGCTATAAAGGTGACTGCACCACCGATACTTTTTACAATAACAACAAATATTGGATTCTTTGTTAAACCAAATCTCGGATTTGGGGCGACTAAACCTAATCCAATTTAACCAATAGAAGACAGAGGTTTGCGTATTTTACGTTGGAGAAAACCCCTTTATCGAATTTCCTCGATTTCAGGTCAAGCGACGACGAAGCGGTTCTAAGAGCGACGTAGGTACATGCCTTTATATTTTATGGTTTAAATAACTGATAGGAAGTTTGGCACCCGTACACGCTAGAATTCTTTTATCGACGAAGTCTTTAATTCCGAACATTGAATTAAACCCCCTAGATAACATGTTTTTGGTTAATGCCGGTGACTCAGGACCGTATTTTGTGGTATACTTTGGAGGAGGCTGATGTTCAACGGTGGACTTGTATGGGACTGTAATGATGATAATGAAGACACTGTTACGAAAATAATGTTTTAAGATGACTGGTGCATTTGTGGTTGCAGATGGGGCCGCCGCGCGGCGCTCGTGGTGAGTGGCTGCGGCGCTGGCCTACTGGGTTTGGTCAAGTCCTTCGCTGGCTCCTACACTGCATATCTACTGGCCGAGTTCTTCGAGACTGTGTTAGGCGCGAGTGTTTACCCTGCAGCTTTTGTACTCAGTAAGTCTAGACGTATTTAGAGCTGGTCACTAACTAAATAGTTTAGTCACTATAAGTCAATGTTTAACTGAAATCTCATCTTCTTAGAAAGTCAGTGTGTTACCGAGTTCTGAGCACAGAATTCACCTTATGGTAATTGGATGCCCTTAGACGTTAGAAATTGGAGGACCCTTAGACACCTGCAATTGAATAAGAATCAATATGCTGAATCGTTGTTACCTTGTTACCTGAGGATTAAGATGAAAATAGCTCGTTACTAGTGATAAGAATCTCTGGCTTACACAAAGCGCAGGAAAATAGTAGCATCATGCACTACTATTTTACGCTGATATTTTGTACAAACGAAGTACTACCCTGATCATGCTAATCCAATCGTGTTGCAGCTTTAATATTTCGCAACGTATCTCAAACAATTAAAATCTGACAATATTCAGTGATATATCCCCGGATGGTAAATTGATAATTACACTTAGCTTAACTAAATCCTACAGAGTCTTTAACATGTGTTTGTAAATTAGATGTTAAAATTAATTAGATGGATTTTGTTATGATAATTGATAGAATCAGGCGTTACTTTGCGGAAATCCATTATAATAAAAATATAAATTACTTCGCAACCTTCCGCTAGCTAAATACAATGATATGTCTTACCTGGATTGAAGAGCACCTCCCGCCCTCCCTCAATTAGAGTTAGTCATGCAATTGAGGGAGGGCGGGATTCCAATCCAGGTAAGACACATCATTGTATTTAGCTAGCGGAAGGTTGCGAAGTAATTTATATTTTTATTAGGATTTTGTTATATCATTACAGTGATTGAGTGGCTGGGCGTAGAACAACGTATCCTAGCTAGTTTGCTCCTCGGTATACCTCTATCTGCCGGAGCTGCAGCTTTGGCACTTCTTGACTATCTGACTGGTTATTGGAGGCTTTGGGCACTGGTGGCCTACCCTCCCTCTTTCCTACTCATGCTGTATCCTTGGCTTCTGCCCGAGAGCGTGAGATGGCTGGTAGCAAACAGCAAGCTGACTCAAGCCGCGAAAGTGATAAAACAAGCAGCGCGATGCAACAGGGTCGCTTTGCCGGAAGATGCGATCGACAAGGCGCTCGCATCCAAGTCCGAGCCCAGGCTGGACAAGAGTGAAGTAGATGACGAGGAGGAAGAAGAGAGTATATTTGGAGCTTTTGTGAAGTAAGTTTATTTTAATTTATCTTGATACATTATCGAAAAATATAAATTATATTGAAGTAACTCTGTGTAATATTGGAATTACTGGTTACATATTTATTTTAAATCTAAATATTCAATTCTATCCAGACGAAGTAAGGGCGGGTCACTAGTATTAAAATATAATAAAAAAACAGATTTTTGTCTTTTTGTTTGTGCGTTTGGATATCCGCTAGTAGCTAAATAGGATGATATATAATTAAGATGTGATTATGTTTTGACATTAAGTCAAGCTGGGCTAACATATTATAGAGTTTGTTTCATTTATTGAACAATATATATTATTTTGAATAATATATGTAACTTTGAAAAAAGGTTTTGCGTTTAGAGTAATTACATACATACGTAGTTTTGCGCACACCCGAAGTGACGCATGCACAAACCAAAATTTGACGCTACTCTGTCGCTTTATCGGCTTAGTAATATATAGTATATTACAAGTATGTTCCAGCCATCCGTCCATCACAGCCTATGAAACTCAACTGACATAGGCCTCCCCCATAGATTGGCTCATACGAGGGATTGTGCCATAGTTGCCACGCTTGGAGAGCGGGTTGGCAACCGCAGTTTTGCTGCTGCCTAGCTCCTGTTTCGATCTCCCTCTGCCGCCTGTCGCGACACCCGCGGGATCTGGCCAGTGGATATTATTGCACCGCCACTACACGGCACAACTTTTAAGTAACAAGTATGTTACTTAAAAGTAATAAGAAGTTATTTTGCCTGCATAGCAAACAGTGCGGGATATCTACACAAAGAAACCTAAAGTAACAGACGGAAAGTGTGAAGGAAATGGGTAGAGAGGATTTTTTCACTCCGATGACTGTTCGACGGCTCTGTGGCGTTGTGCCTTAGCAATGAGGTTGAATTCCACGGGGAAAAAGTATTTGTATGACCTATGAATAATTGTTCATGGTCAGCATGTATGTTCTTGTAAAATTTATGTACGTTAACTGTCTCTATGATACGAAAAAAAATCGAAGAAGAACGTCGACACATCGACTTACTTTCATTCATTTATTTGAGTTCGATCACTGCACTACTAGTTGCATATCTCACGCCCACTGCGTGTGAACAACACCTTATCTCTTGCAATAGAATCTGTGACCATGACTATGACTTCATTTTGTCCCATCTGGTAAGAAGCAACTAAGTTATAATGAAAAGGTGAGTGGTGCATGACGTGGCAGAGCCACGATGCAGCTACATATAAAAACAGAACAGAAACAGAAACTTTTTTATTCAATGTAGATTATAACAATACTTATTGAAAGTCACTTTTTTCATTTACCACTGGTTCGCAAAAAAAACTTCTGTCCTGGGAAGAACCAGCAAAAAACCCAGCGGTACTATTTTTTTTTTTTCAAATAATAGCTTGCAATCATGTTTACAATTAACAACACAAGAAAAATTTGAAATAGCTTGATAGCGATCACCCTTCCCAGGGGTTATTATCATCCATAAATTCCTTAATATTATAATAACCCTTTTTATACAAACTTAGTTTAATAACATTTTTGAACTTTGTGTTTGACAAATTTTGTATATTTTCTGGGATTTTGTTATGAAAGCGTATACATCGCCCAAGAATGAATTACTGACTCGCTGGAGTCGAGTAACTGGTACCTACTACTAGCTTATGTCTGTTTCTAGTATTTACAGAATGAATATCCCTTATTTTCGCAAAACTACTTTTATTTTTGTGTACGTACATTACATTTTCATAAATGTATTGAGAGGCCAGAGTTCATATATTAATTTCCTTACATTTTTGTCTCAGTGACTCTTTAGGCTTTAAATCATATATTGCTCTAGTGGCCCTCTTTTGTAAAATAAATATAATTTCGGTGTCAATCGCGTGTCCCCATAGCAAAATACCATACGACATAATGCTATGGAAATAACTAAAGCAAACTATTCTAGCTGTTTCAACACTGGTAAGAGTTCTAATCTTTTTAACAGGATATGCTGCAGAACTAAGTCTGCTAGCTAGTTTTGATATACTGGGGAGCCATTGAAGCTTTGCGTCTAGTGTGATTCCAAGAAAAATGGTGGTATCAACAAGATTCAGATTCTCCCTATTTCAAATTATAATATGGTTATAGCACAAATGTGTCGACTCGACTGGGAAGGAAGCACGCTCTCACAGAATACCAGCGTATCAAAATAGCAGCTTAATGCTGTTGTATTTCGAGAACCGGAGATCCTTTTTACAGGAAATGAGACATCCCATCTTAGTCTTCAGGGGTGGTAACGCATCTGTACTTTGATACTTAATTGATGATAGATGTAAATGTCAATGAGCCACATCATCCACTTACCATCAAGTGGACTGTATGCTTGTTTGACACCCTTATTCTATGGACGTTGTGGTCAGGTACGGCGAGTTGCGGCGGCGACTGCTAACATGCTTCGTTTGGTGGGCGTCAGCGGTGTTCGTGTTCTATGGGCTGGCGGTGCACGCGCACTCGCTGTCGGGCAGTGCACACGTCAACTACGTACTGTTGAGCGCCGCGGAGGTGCCGGCGCTGCTGCTCAACACGCTGCTGCTGGACCGCGCCGGCCGCCGCCCGCTTCTGACCGCCGCATTGCTGCTCACCGCCGCCGCGCTCATCACCGCCCCACTGCTGCCCGACCGTGAGAGACACTTTTTTAGCGTTGTTTATTTAAAAAAAATAGTCAGGATGTGGCTGCGTCGTGGAGATTGCCTGTATTCACTACCGCCACGCGAATTGCGTCACTGTCCTCACTCAACCTAACGAATTGTTTAATCCATTAGCTATCGAGTGGTGTAATTATTTTTTGGATATAGGTGATAGATACGCAGGCTGTAACTCCCAACTGTATCCCCCAATTTTGTTATAATCAGTTTTCTGAATTGCCTTCCACTATGTATTCGTATTTCTATGTATTAACCAAGTATTGTGGCACTTGAATCCATAACTTCCCCAGCATTTTTATGCTCTTCAGGTACAACATACCACTGATGAAAATGATAACTCATTATTAAACATCGAAAATTAGCGTTTCGCGTGAAAATTTGAAAATAAATTTTTATGGCACTATTCGGTTTAAAAAAATATAAATATTATAGTGGATCATTATCACTCTAGAATTCATTTAAAATACTATTTGAAAATGGACATTATACCCTATTCTGATATTCAATCAGCACTACTAGCATTATATAAATTTTGTGATTTCATAGCTAATTGGAGACTACGTGAACCGTTTAAACGCCCTGGGCAACAACAACAGGATCTTCTAGAAATAGGTTTTGGGTCATGCAGGTATTGTAGGCAATGCACAAGCCGACAAGCTCAGGATGGGTCAAAATACACAAATAGAAGATGTTTTATAAGACACAAATTGAATTTTAAGCGTTTTATGCAATCACAAAAAGCCCGATCCGACTAAACCGTAAAACTCTTTCCACTAACCATCAGGTGGACCGTGTGCTCGTTTGTGACCCTTATTCTATAAAAAAAACCTAAAAATTGCTTAATTTCTGGTCTGGTAAATTCTGCTTGAAATATTCCAAAACCTTAATCCAGGCTTGGAGGAGGTCATGATGGTAAATTCGCTTCAAAAGCTTTGGGATCAATTAGAACAAACTGCATATTTTGACAAGAGCCTTGACTAGACGAAGCATAAGTCTGTCTTGGGACTAAGAAAATGCGGGAGATATGCCGATTCTGTTTCACGGAAGAAATATTTTGATGATTTATTTGGCACGCTCTATAGCCTGAACGGCTCGATGGAGTTTAGCATAGTATGAGGTGTCGTTAGATTCCTCTTAATTATGGGAGTGACGTAGGCTATGTAATATTTATATATTGCAATTGCAAATATTAAAAAGGGAGGGAAAGGTTTTCTGAGTAAACTTTTTAACTTAGTCGGATTTTTTAATTACTGTTTATCCAATGGGTTTAATTTCAAGCATTCAGACCACCAAAATTAATTCTTGTGTGTATGCTGATAAATAAACAACGTAACCACGCAGCAAATGGTGTGGGGGGCACGTCGCTGTTCCTGATGGGCAAGGTGGGTGCCACGATGTCGCTGAACGCGCTGTACGTGTACACCGCGGAGCTGTTCCCCACGCGCGCGCGCCAGCGCCTGCTGGCCGCCTGCTCCACCTGCGGCCGCCTCGGCGCCATCCTCGCGCCACTGACGCCGCTGCTGGTGAGCAATAAAACGCCTTTATTTCTGTAGGAGACAGCCCGTTCACAGAGTTTAGTAGGGAATGGAGACGTTAGCTGCTACAGAGCCACCCCCGCTCCGCTCAAGCCACTGCTGCTGGGCAACACTACGCCTTTACTTCTGTAGGTGACAGCTCGTTCACAGAGTGGAGAATTTAGCCGCCCCGGAGTCACCCATTCATCACTCACGCTGCTTTTGGTGTGCAACACAACACCTTTATTTCTGTAGGTTCTTGCTTGTTCACAGAGTGGAGGCTTTATCCGCTCCGGAGTTACCCATTCACCGCTCACGTCGTTGCTGGTGAGCAACACACTCTTGTTTTTGTAGGAGACAGCCCTTAAATAGAGTTGACGAGTTAGCGGCCTCATATTCACCTTCTCATCACTCACACCACTGCTGTAACCGAGCTGCAAGACCACGCATTTACTTCTGTAGTTGACACCGCGAACACAGAGTGTAGTTACCTCGGCGCCATCCTCGCACCCTTGCTTCTGTATGGGACGGCCCGTTAATAGTATATGAGTTAGCTGGCTAAGCTGCCTTGATGATAGTAGTAAATAAGATATCCAAAATTATAAAAAATGTAAAAGTGTATTTCCTTACTTGAAGAGCGCCCCACTTCTCTCCCTCAATTGTTTGCACCATTAAAGGAATTATTTTCAGTCGGATTCTCTGAATAGTACGAGTATAGTGTTAATGAGCTAATGAGGGTGGTGTGCGGGCAGGCTGTGTACGGGTCGTGGGTGCCGCCGACGCTGCTGGGCGCGCTGCCGCTGGCGAGCGCGGCGCTGACGCGGCTGGTGCCCGACACGCTCGGCCGCCGCCTGCCCGACCGCTTCCGCGACCTGCGCCACCACCACCTGCTGCCCTGACTGTCTACCTTATAGCTGCTTTCAAGTGGACGCATCGGATATCGCGTCGGACTTACCTTGTTAAAAAAATTGTGGAAAAATTGAGGGGTGAAACGAAATAATTTTACTTCAAGGCAAATATTTAATTAAACACAATAGCACAGTGGCACTTACCGTGTGGCGGTGTAAGAATTTTCACTACCATGAATAGGTAACATACGGAAACAATCAGGAGATAGGTGGCAGCGTCTTCCTGATAATGACTGAAATAAATTGCGGCTGCCAACCCACCTGCTAAGCATGGCAACTGTGGCAGAATCCTCCCTGTGTAGCAAACTATGGGGAGTCTGGATTTCTATAGGCTGCAATGGAATCAGATAGATCAGGGTTGTGACAATGTATATTATTCCATGTGGGATATGAACCCGTGGCCTTCAGCGCCCTAATTCAATGATACATTCACTTTTAAGTTAAAAATATTAGCAATAAAATAAACATTACTATTGTTGGCTACTCCAGGTAAGGTTAATGTTGCCAGGTATAATTCATGACAGAAGTAGAAAGGCGGATTCGATCTGTACTGTTTCATTAAAGTATTGAAACTCTGAAAATATAATTTAAAATAGTACAGTAATTAAAACAGCCTGACGTATCCGAAAATATAATTGAAAACAGAGTGCTAAGCAGCTCTCTAAATAGTTTCGTGCCTATAGCCGTATGGTAGCGCATCGTGTGTGAAACCCATCACTTTACGTGGGCGCCATAAGAACAAAATACGATCAATGTTCACGACCTCTGATAGATAACAGTAGTGTGACCACCTCGTACGTATCTGGTGCAAAGTAACGAGGGTGGTGCTTAGCAGTGTCTGACAAGCGTTAGAATAAGATTTCAGTATAATTATAATAGTAAAGATACATGTTCAGAAATTCAAAGAAGAAAAAGAATTCTGAAACGTATGACCCATTTCAAAAATATTATTTAAAATAATCAATGCAATCGGGCGTTACTTTACGAAAAAACATTATATTAAAGATGTTAACAATTCGTTATCCGTAATTATAAGATCCACGTAATAAAATAAAATGATGTGTCTTACCTAGTTTGAAGATCACCTCCCGCCCTCCCTCAATTGCGTGCACTAATCCCGTCGTCTGTAATCCCAACGACACGCGTTTCGTTTCCAAACGAGGCATCCTCATGTGAAGATTTATAATATAATGGGTTTCCGCAAAGTAACACCCGATTCTATTTATCATTTTATAACCGTTGTCCTGTATGCTAAGGGGGAGGCCCACGGTTGAAGTAGATTGTTAAAAGACTAATAATGGTTTGTGAATAAAGAATCACCAAGTTAGATAAATTCTTATGCTAGAAGTAATGTAAGACAATAATCGATTCGAAACTGGTATCGATTATAAGACTATGTTAATATGTTATTTTAGATTACAAAGTGTTATTATAATAAAAGAAGAAAAAACAAAACATAACGCAGCTATAGGACAACGTTATGCCTGTGGCCGGAGGGAAGTAGCCATATGCAGGCGTTGCCCACTGTCAAAGTATAAATCCATGCGGTCTTATGCGTGCCAAAACACTAGCTGCAGCTGCACTGCTCACTAGACTAAATCTAGTTGCACGGCAACAAGTTTACGTGGTAGAGCCATGCTGCAGTTATATTAGTAATATAATTGTAGCACGAATGGGTTGGCTCGACCGGGGAAGCACCACGCTCTCACAGAATACCAGAATAATCGTAGCTTAATGCTGCTGTGTTTCGTATGGTGAGTGTAGAGAACCGGATACCCTTTTGACTGGAAACGAGGCATTCCATCTTAGTCCTCACGGGTGACAACGCATCTGCATTTTGATTCGTAATCGAGGATAGATGCAGATGTCTATAGGCCGCAGCAACTACTTACCATTAGGTGGATTGTGTGCTCGTTTGTCACCCTATCCTATAAAAAAACAACAGATCTGCCACGTCAAATTAAGAAAAAGATGCGTTAACTTTCTTTATTTAATCACATTATTGCTATTTACTCCTTTTTTAACTTAATAATTACAATAATACGTGTGTGCTCTTTCGGATATGTGAACCAACACAGACCGATCGCTCTCATATAATATGCAGATCAGCCGAGTGACTGATCCGAGTCTACTGACAGGTCTACAGACCAAGTTGTCGTCACCGCGTGCGTGCGTGCGTGCGTGCGTGCGTGCGTGCGTGCGTGCGTGCGTGCGTGCGTTCATGCGTGCGTGAGTGCGTGCGTGCGTGCGTGCTTGCGTGCGTGCATGCGTGCGTGCGTGCGTTCGTGCGAGCGTGCGTGCGTGCGTGCGTGCGTGCGTGCGTGCGTGCGTTCGTGAGTGCGTGCGTGCGTGCGTGCGTGCGTGCGTGTGTGCGTGCGTTCGTGCGGGCGTGCGTGCGTGCGTGCGTGCGTGCGTGCGTGCGTGCGTGCGTTCGTCGTGCGTGCGTGCGTGTGTGTGTGTGTGTGTGTTTTTTTAATTGTTTCAATTGTTTTGAGTGAGTTTCGTAGGGACAGACGATTGTTTTTGTGTGTAAATTTCCCTTACGCAAAAACATGACAGAGTTTCGTATCGGGAACAACGCTACGGCTACTTTCCTCTGGTCGTATATTCAGTAATCTATGGTCTGGTCCGTCGGTGGCCCGAGTTGCTCTATGTGCCTGTGTTATAATCACTCTGAGGGAATTTTTTGACGTTATGCTTCTTCGTTACCAAATATGAAATAATATAAACATTGTTAACAAAAGGAATCATTCATTGTAGGAATATCAAATGTTCGAGCATATAGTTCATTACAGAAATTGTTTTGTTGATAAAGACATATAGTTGTATTTAGTGTAAATATGTTTTATTTATAAGAAAAGGTTGAATTGCTATTTATATATTATATTTTTAAAGATATCATTCGTGGTATTTTTTCAGTCATTTGCATTTATCAATGAGTCCATAAATTTTTCTGCAACCCGGGTAGCGCCATTTAGGATTGAGGTGAAATATTTGACACATTTTATAGCAGGAGCAGTTATTTTGTTTTAAAAGTGTAGAGAAAAAATTTTCTTTCTGAAATTTTAGTTATATTTTATATTAATTTAAGTCGAAATGAATAAATAGAACTAAGTGCGGATATTCCTCATAGAAGAATATTTTTAAAACAGTTAAAAATAATTGTAAGATTAAAGAACACAGCACCGAGGCATTGTTTTTTGTATATATGTACACTGGAAAACAAAAAAAACTTCACAATGATGATGACACTGTTGCGTAACAAATAAGTTCAATTTAACCAACAAGTTAACCAACTAGCGACATCTGGCGAGCGTAATATCGGTAGCCTTCATTTTGACAAGTATCAGTTGCCAGTAATAGATATTGAATTAACTTTTTTTTCCATTTAAAGCTGTAGAAGCCGTAGAAGGAACTGCGACATTTTCCGCAAAGGCAAATCTCATTTGCAGGTGGTGCTGCTGATTGATGAACTGATGATGCGTGATCTATCCATTTCTTATCGTTTATTAGCACATAAAAGACCATAGTACAAGGTCTTCACCAGTATACAATACGTTGCCTCTTGTACTTTTTATCTTGCTCCCAATCGCCAGTCTGGATATTTTACACCTGATGTAAATAAAATGGACACATCGCAATCTAATGAAAGCCATAGGATCTTTTCAGCATATCTCATGGTCGCCTCTTACGACACCTACAGTGCGAAATGGAGTGATGGATTCTATTACGATACCATCACACAACAGTACCCAAAAATCATCATCATCATCGTCATTACAGCCCTTCACAAGTCCACTGCTGAACATAGGTCTCCCCCAAGGTATGCCACAAAGCACGGTCCTGAATCACGTGCATCCATCGATTTCCTGCATGTCTTACCAGGTCGAAACTCTATCTAGTGGGGGGTCGCCCTACACTTCCCCTATCAGTATGAGGCTGCCACTCGAGAACTTTTCTTCACCATAAGATATCGGTTCTTCGAGCGATTTGGCCGGCCCATTGCCACTTCAGCTTACTAATACGTTGGGCTATGTCGGTCACTCTGGTTCTACTGCGGATATGCTCATTTCTGAGTTTCTGAGCGCTGTAACTCATTGCTAAGCCACTGCGCCATGGAGCCGTCAAAAGGTGGAGGAAATGTATAAGGGTAATTCGAGAGCCATGCATTCCTCCAAAACTCACTATACGGTGTTAATGGGAGACTTCAACGCAAAACTGGGTACAAGAAAGAACGGTGAGCTGAAGGTAGGGAAATTTGGAATAGGGTAACGGAACCCAAGGGGACAGCAGCTGGCTGAATTCATGGAAAAAGAGGGACTCTTTATGATGAACTCTTTCTTCCAGAAGCGGCCCCAAGGGAAGTGGACCCCGACGGTTCGACAAAAAATAAGATTGATTTCATTTTGACGACCAGACGCCAACTGTTCAGTGATGTCTTAGTGATCGCGAGGGTGAAAACTGGTAACGATCACCGAATGGTTAGAGACACACTGAACCTAAACGTTAAGTTAGAGAGGTCTCGTCTAATGAAGTCAACGCTCCGTCCCACTCGTTGCTCCAATCTGAAATCCCGAAACCTTTCAGCTTGAGTTACAAAACCGTTTTCAGTGCCTCACAAGCTCGTGGAAACTGTCCATTTGGTCGGAGCTAAGTTCTGCAAGACCCGCTGCAGAAGAACACAAAAACTCTCCAATCACACTCTTAATCTCATGGCTGTTAGACGGGAAATAAAACTGCAGTTTTCAGCAGTTTTGGCAGCATACAACTGAAGATCTGTCTAATCTCCGAATACATGCGGCATTGCGTAAGTCCGCAACTTCAGTACAGCTGGTATTGAAGAAGCGATCGAGCGGAACCAAGGTTCTAAAATCTTTGCCGGGGATCTGTCTTTCAGAAAAAGCCAACTGTCGAAGATGAAGACCGAGTGTGGCAGCATCGTTTCCAGGACACCTGAGATTTTGAGTGAGATTAAGAGGTTCTTTGGACAG